AGTACCTCAGACCCTCCCGCGGACCCCCGCGTGCCCCTGCCTTGGGGCCCCTCCTCCCCCACGCCACACAGGCCTGGACAGTGGCGAAGCCCCACACTTGCTCCCGCAGGCAGGGGAGAACTCGCAGGCGGGGTCTTAGCTACTCTTCGACGGGCTCTCACTTCCCACATAATCATGCATTTCAGACAAGTCACCCAATTCCTCAGCTAGAAGATCAGCAGATCGTAGAATTGGAAAGAATTGCATAAAGGGCCTCTGATCTAATTTCCCACCAAACAAATGCATCCCTTATGGCGTGACAGAGACCTTTGCCCTGTGTAGGATAACTTCCCAGTCCCATTGTTAGACATACTATCTAGAACTTAAGCCTGCTGCTCCTAATTTTTCTAAACTACTACTTCTCAAAGTGTGGTCCGGGGACCTGCTTTCAGGCCTTCTGTGAGGCCCTCACTTCTCTGCGTACAGAACTGTGTGAGGCCAGATTTTCTTCATACCCTTCAACAAAAACGAGATTTCACCACAGATTGACTGCAGGAACTGACATCAGATTCTAGCTGCCTTCTATTATGTCAGACACTGAAGAAATATGCCACTCTTCTCACTGAATGCTTTTGTTTCAGAAAGCATTTTTCATAAAAAATGTTAGAATAGATAGGTCTATTGTTATTTTTAAGTGAATAAATAGTAAAATAGATGGATAGTTAATACTCTGTTTCAGTGAGAGGATGCACAGTTTTAATTTTTTTTTTAAATTTAATTAATTAATTAATTTAATTGGCTGCGTTGGGTCTTCCGTTGCTGTGCGCGGGCTTTCTCTAGTTGCAGTGAGCGGGGGCTATTCTTTGTTGCAGTGCGAGGGCTTCTCATTGCAGTGGCTTCTATTGTTGTGGAGCACAGGCTCTAGGCATGCAGGCTTCAGTAGTTGTGGCACACGGGCTTCAGTAGTTGTGGCTTACAGGCTCAGGAGCGCAGGTTCAGTAGTTGTGGCACACGGGCTTAGTTGCTCCGCGGCATGTGGGATCTTCCCGAACCAGGGCTCGAACCCGTGTCCCCTGCATTGGCAGGCGGATTCTTAACCACTGTGCCACCAGGGAAGCCCTTTAATTTCTAATATGAGAAAAATCAGTCGATGTAGCCAACACAAACAGAGGCTCCTTGGGGGTCTTCAATATTTTTAAGGGCATAAATTTGCGAGCCTTTCAAATATATGAAAGTAGCCTTCATGTCCTCCATTATGTCTCATCTTTTCTGGGATAAGTTTCTCTCATCCCTCCGACAGGTCCTTACGTGACTCAGCATCACACCCTCGAGCTAAACCACAGTCTGTCAGTGAGTGGGAACAGAGCACACAGAGCAGGACACGATGCCTCAAGGGCTGTGCCCGGGGAATTGCCTCTCGCCCTAAACACTCTGGTTCCATGAAAACATCCCAAGTTCCTGTGGGGGGGGGGAGGTTCTGTCTCATCATCAGCTCATCTCCTACTGAACTGGCAATCACTCAAGTTCCCAGGGTCTTTTCTCAGGTATTTCTACAGAAGCAGGTCACCCCAATCCTGTAGTCTTCTTGAATCTTAATTCTGTCATTGAATATACTAACCATCTTCCAACTTCTCTGTCATCCACCACATTGATTAACATGCCACCTATCTCCCTTCCAGTCACTGATAAAATTACATCACATGGGACAGAATTTCATGAGCCCCATTAAATATCCCATCTGTGTTTAGGGCAAACCATTAACAGACTCAGGCAGCTATGTATGGACCTAATGATGTTGTCGTCAGCCTCAATATTTCATCCTCTCCTGCATGGGACACTGAACTTATGACCCCGAGTGATTCCTGCTTCCTCCTCCCACTATGCTTTCTGCCCACAGGTGTAACTTGACACGTCCCCGATTTAAGCCACCACCTCCACTGCAGGGGAACTGTTCTTTAATTAAAAAAAAATTTACTGAGCATACTATATGTCAAACACTATGCTGTTAGAACTAAAGATGACTCAGATATTTTCAGATTCTAGAATTCTGGGGCCTCCTCCGGCCCCCATAGGCAGACCCCCGCCCCTCCTGCCGGGACCCTCTGAGACGGGACTAGAGTGACTGAAGCTAAACTCGGGGACTTTTCCTTGGAACCATCCTGCTGCTGCCTGGTTTCACGGTCCCATGAGCTCTGTTTGATCAGATAAGCTTCACTGGCCTGGAAACCTAACAGTGGAGTTGATGTTGTTTCCATGAGAAGAGGCTGCCAAACAAATATTCCACACGGAGTTTTGGAGGGAACCCACCTGTAGACCTGGGACTGCTGACGCGTTGCCGGCGTGACAGCCCGCGCCCAGGACCTCTGACTGTCCTCAGCCTTCTCTGACAGCCCCTGTGCGTCGGGCCGCAGGCACGAGGCTCCTTTGGCACAGCTGCAGCTGCTCTCCGAGTGCCCCCATCTCACCGCAGTCAGAGAAAGTTCTCCAAGGGAAATGTGCAGTCCTCGGGGCATGAAGCCGGGCCCCGGAAGGGAGGTGTGCAGAGTCCCCTGGCTCCAGAGGCTGCTGTCTCTCAGACGACCACCTCCTCCTAAAAACTGCACTGAGAGTCACCGGGGAGAAGCCGGGGGGCTAAAGGGTCACCTGTGCTTCTGCCCCATAAAATTTGAGAGCCCTAAGGGCCTCCCTTATAGGGGGGTCCCGCTTGGGTCCCGGGCTGGTGACTTCCAGATGTGCAGGGAATAGAAGGCGCTGTAACCAGTGCAAAGGTCGTCACGGATCTTAAAACAGGAATGTTCTGGGCCCTCACGCTTCGTGTGCGCTACAGGTGTAGTTCCAGGCCTAGCTTTTCCGTGGCCTCACCCAGTACCCTGAGATGCTGAAGCGACCGTGACGCCTCCCGTGTGATAAACAGGTGGTGATTACGTGCGGGTGGAGCCTGCCTGCCTGGGCTTAACGTTCTGCTCTGCCACTCCCTGTGCATCGGTTTCCTCACCTGTAAAGTGGGATCATAGCTGTACCTGACCCACAGGGTTATTGTGACTTAATGCTCAGAAGGAGCTTGGACAGTGCGTGTTCAAAATCAATACCTCTCTTAGACACTGACTGTATCTAGAAGATGACTGAGCCAGGATTATCACAGAAATAATTAGCTGTTGTTTTACGAGCACCTTTTACACTTTTCAGAGTGATTTTATACACATTTACCTTCATGTGAGGCAGGGCAGGAGAAGTCCTTATGAGCTCGGCTTTACGCAGGAGAAAACTGGAGATCACAGAAGGTAGGCTAGCCCCCCAGACCCCCAGCTAGTGTTTTGGTAGACTCAGGACGGGTCTTCTGACTTGTTTTCCCCACACCACGCCCTCAGACCTCAACACCAGAACACAAATGTTCTCACAAATCTACTTCTCATTACTACCAAATCCCAAAACACCAAGTCTGAGCTGTTCAAATATTTTTTCAGCCTTTGGCTTTTGGATGAAAGCGATTTGGTTCAAACTTGTCCCAAACAAATGAAAGTGTCATGAACAGAAGGACAGGCCTCCAGGACAGGAGTAAGAGGCCTGAAAATCCCTCATGTCAGAGAATTGTTTATCTCCTGCCAAAGTAACAGAGCCTCCAGCATTCTAATCTTTCCTCACATCCAAGGGTGCTGAAAGCCTAGGGCAAAAACTGAGACGTCACCAGCACCTTTTTTTAAGGAAAAGGGCAAAGCGCATATTTTTAGCAGTAGGTGGCGATAGAGTAATGAGGTTAAAGAAGCTGAATGTTTAAACATATACGTCATAAATATTTTGAGTTTGGAGATCATCCCACCCAAACTGCTAATGTTACTCAAAAAGGAACTGAGGTTCCTCGAGGGCATGTGACTTGTGCAAGGTCCTACACCTGGTTAACGGCTGAGCCAAATTAAACTCAGTTCTCACCATTAACCCAGAACCTGCAAGAACACAGACTATCTTTCAAAATAGCCTGGTATCTTTTAATCATGCAAAGGAAAATATCACTTCACTTGAGTGTGTTAATAATTGCAGTGTGCTGGAAAGCTGATGGCCTTTAAGAAATGAAACAGTTTGTTATGCTCTCAGCCTTGAGAGCTAAAGGCAAGGGGAGAGGGGAGGGAATGGGAGAGGGAGAGAAACAGCCATTAGGGTGTCCTTACGAGGCTTCCTAATATGTTTGTGCTGCCTCTGAGCCCCTCCCAGCCATAATTCTCCAAAAGAGATCAGGGGGATTGGGTAAGAATCTCCCCTTCCCGACCACCGCTGCCACTTCATCAGCACAGGTTCGTGGTGAAGGGCATTAGACAGATAGGATGCCAGGTGCCACTTTGCTCTATTCTGCTTGAGGCACACCATGAGAAGCAGAGCCTCAGGAAATGAGTGTACTGCCTGCTCCCTGAAGGGGCCAGATTTGTTCTGTGTGGTTCCAAGGAAAGAAACACAAACAGATGGGTAAGGCAAACGTACCCAGAATGATGCTGGGCATATTCTGGGTGCTTATTGAGTGTGACGGGTAGATGGGTGGATGGAAGGATGGATGGATGGATGGATAAAGATTTCATATTGATACAATGAAAAGTCTTCTCAAAGTCTCAATAGTCCAAGAAGAAATGCACTACTTTAGTTGCGAATGTAATGAGTTCCCTGTCTCTGGAGGGATCCAAGCACCAGCCAGCCACTCGCTTAGGTAGAGATGTTATTGAAGCAGGTTAGGAGGTTGGTTCAAATTGAATGAGCTTTTAGGTCCCCTTGAATTCCAGGATTCCTATTATTCCGTGATTCTTGGTGCATAGGGAAAGGAAGAAAAGAGTAAAGATGTTTTCGTCTTTGGCTTTAAGAGCTTTAAATGAGAAAATCCCACAGATTTCAGGTTGCTTCATCCCAAAGTCTGGTCTCCTGCTTCTTTACTGAACTTTCTGCCACAGTTAGAAAACATTAGCATCCTGGCAGTTCACTTGAGAGCTTCTGCCGGTTTCATCTAAGTAATGAGTTTGTTTCTTTTTAATTTTGAAAAGCAGGGGAACCTGAATTGTGGAAACCTGGATCGGTGCTTCTAGATGCAGGTAATTATGCAGCCCCTCCTCCTGGCCGTGACTAGATCAAGATTCGTACAGCAGGTGGCACAGAGACTAAGCTCAGCTAGAGAAGGCTTTCCAACAGTGTCACCTCCGACATTAGGGTCTGGTGACCATGTGAAGGGCCCACTGAAGCTCCTACAGGGAGGCCTGGGTAAGGGACAAGACTGGATCACTAAGAGGGAAGGAAATGTGAAGACAAAAAAGCAGAAGGGAGTGAGTTCCAGGCCCCCAAAATGGGTTAAACCCTCATTCCGTCTGGGAGCACACTTTGACTTCCTTCTGTTTCTTCTTCCTTCTTTGCAAGTGGGATTCGGGTTTTCCCTTCACATGAATGAATGTTGTTCCCTGTTTACTGTGTTAAGTGTTTGAAACTCCAACAGCAAATGCGGCCTTCTGACTCTTGGTTCAAGGGCAGATTTTGCTGGTGGGTTGGGGTTGGGGGGTGATGGAGGAAAGGACTCCGGCCTCTGGACATGTATTTCTTCCCCTCCCAGAGCTCCTGGATGAGAAATGCCATTCGTGAATTTTTTAAATGATGTGAGGAAGTGGGATGAGCAAGCTGACCTTTAATGGGAAGATGAACTCATGTGCTTTGCAAACTGGAAAAACTAACAAGCCAGGAGAAAGCTCACCCCAGCCAGGAGCGAGCAGAGCCCTTAGCACCTTCCTCCACTGGGGGGGACTCTCAGTGGGCGCTACCCAGCATCCCAGAAACGGGGAGACTCACTTCTGGTTGGTGCTGCAAGTTTCACTCTGCCCAAGAAACTCATTGGCCTTACCAAGCCTAAAAAGACTCGTATTTATTGTCTTTATTTCCTTATACGATATATTTGTGAACTTGGCTCCCAGGTAAACAGCTCTAAAGAAGACCCCTGAGGCTGAAATTCAACTCACATACACCCTCTCTCAAAGCCCTAAACCCTTTTGCATCTGTACTCTGGTCTCAGACTGCTGGAGGGGAAGGGAAGCATTATAGACCCTCTCATTTGAGTTGCTTGTATCTCATCTCTTCCCCTCCAGTCTACACCCAACCCCCATTAGACTGTCCTCGGTCTCACTCATCTTTGTTCATCAACTCAGTCACTGAATGTTGATTGAGGACCACAGGAAAGGTTCACGTGATGAGTGAGACACGCGCCCTGACCTCAAGATTTTCAGAATTTTACAGAGGGATAATTTACACTGGCAAAGCGCTTAATGCTTTCAGATAAGGAGACTATGGCTGTCTCCTAAGGGGCAGTAGGGGACCAATCTCAAGTCTCCTCTTCAAATGCCTGTAAGCACCCAGGGGAGTACTGTGTCTCTAGTAGGCTGTCGGTAAGCATTCATTCTTCTCTCTTAAGATGGGGGTGTTATGGAGAAGAGCACACTTAGTAAGCCAAGCCCCCTGAGCTGAGTGTGAATATCCATTCTGTCCCCATCCCTGGGGTGAGGCCAGATGCTTCCTGTTCTTGTAAGTCACCAAAAGTTTTACTGCTCTTTCCAGGATTTGTTCCAAAAAAAGAATTAAGCACACAGTCTTTGGAGCCAGTATCCCAGGGAGATCCAAGTAAGTTAATTGACAACTAGAAACCCATAGTGGCTTTGACATCTGATCTGCTCTCTCTCCCCTCTCCCCACTCACTCCCACCCTAACCCGCCTCTCTCCTACCCTGGATCTATTTATCTCCTCTCTTCTGTCACTTTGTTCTAAGGGGAAAGGGAAGCTTTTGAAGGATTTACACTATCTATGTGCAAGAGGGGGAGAGGATCAGATGTTTAAAACATCGCTATGGCAACAGAGTGGGGTGGGGTAGGGCGACAAGGAGGATGAAAGGAGGAGACTCGCTTGCCAGCGAGGACAGTGGTCCAGCAGAGATGATGGTACACAGAGCTCAGAGAGGGAAGCGTAAATGGAGAGAAATGGGCAAATTCAAGAGATAGAGAAGGAAGAATCTAGAGGGTTAGAGGTAGAAGTGCAAGAGAGGGAGCCGTTAAAGATGATTTGGACAACTAGGGCAAATGGTGCTGCCATGAGGACCACTGGGGACCGAGCACATTGGGGCAGGAGAGTGTTTACATCTATCATCTTCTGTAAGACGTTTGGTCTAGCAGAGAGTTAACTACCCAGATCTGACATTCTGAAAGGACAGCCCAGCCAGAAATTTAGAGTTGGAAAATGATGAGCCATAGTTCAAAGCCAAAGCTGTCAGAACAGAAAATGTGACCTAGGGAGACAGGATAGAGTAAGAAGAAACAGACGACTTAAACCTGAAGACCTTTAAGACTAACTCGGTGGAAGAGAAGCCACCTGAGGATACCAGAAAGAAGGGACCAGAGAAAAAGAGGAAAACCAGGAGGGAGCTGTGTGTTGCAAGCCAAGGAGAGCACCTGCAAATTCTCCCAGAAAGTTGCGGCAAGTCAGCCACCAATGGGCTGTGAGTCTCAACTCACCTCTGGGTGAGAATCACCTGAAGACATTTTTTTTTTACTTTTTTTTGGGGGGGGGCGTGGACCATTTTTAAAGTCTTTATTGAATTTGTTGCAATACTGCTACTGTTTTATGTTTTGTTTTTTTGGCCGCAAGGCATGTGGGATCTTAGCTCCCCGACCAGGGATGAAACCCACAACCCCGGCATTGGAAAGCGAAGTCTTAACCACTGGACCACCAGGGAAGTCCCACCTGAAGACATTTTTAAAAATGAAAGATACCAATTCCTGCCTCATACCTACTGAATCAGTCCCTCCCTAGATCTTGCTACTCAAAGTGTGGTCTGAGCACCGGCAGCATTGGTATCACCTGGGAGCTTGTTAGAAATGCAAAATCTCAGACTCCCACCCCCCCCCCCCCCCCCCCCCCCCCCGTCTACTGAATCAAGCAATTCCTTTGCATGCTAACCCTTGAGAAGCACCGCCTGGAGTGATTCCCAGGCATCTTTATTTATTGAAGCTGCATAAGCAACTCTGATACATATCTAGGGTTAAGAAACACTGGCCTAATATACTGGCCAACAAAAAGCATTAATCTATAAACTTGTATCACGTTGAAGAAAACCAAAGCAATTAAGAAAATTGGTAGATTGATGACTGTAGACACTCTGTCTTACCTTTTCTTCCTCCTGCTGCAACCTCAGTGACTGTAGTAAATTGCTCATGCTGGACATTTCATAACCCAGTACTGTCCTTTCGTATTGCTGTTGTCATCTTCACATCAGCATGTTTTTATGTCTGTATGAGAAAGCCACTAGGGTCTCAGTGAGCACATGCCCTGAGCGGGAGCCATTGTCATTAAAACATTCTTGGGAAGGAGGAGCAAAGGTGATCCCAATAACAGCCAGCAGGCTAATGAGTGAAGAGAACAGAGGAAACAGAGAAACACCTCACCTCCTTAAAACCTCCTTAAAACACAGTTCAAGATGTAAGAAATAAGGAGAGGGACTTCCCTGGTGGCACAATGGTTAAGAATCCGCCTGCCAGTGCAGGGGACACGGGTTCGAGCCCTGGTCTGGGAAGATCCCACAGGCCGTGGAGCAACTAAGCCCGTGCGCCACAACTACCAAGCCCGTGTGCCTAGAGCCCGTGCTGCGCAACAAGGGAAGCCACCACAATGAGAAGCCCACGCACCACAACAAAGAGTAGCCCCTGCTCGCGGCAACAAGAGAACGCCCACGCGCAGCAAAGAAAACCCAACGCAGCCAAAAATAAATTAATATTTTAAAAATAAGGAGAAAAAATGGTCTAGGAAGAACTAACATAGATGCTACAAAACATGTACGCTTCTTCATTTAAAAAGAAAATCCCCTGTGGCCCTTACTGTAATTGTTATTTTTTTAAAAAAAGGTTTTCATTTAAAAAGGCATATTGAACTATAATCTGCTGACATCTGAAGGAAAACCTCTCTTCAGGGGTGCTTCTCAAACTTTAATGTGCATAGGAATCACCTGGGGATCTTGCTAAACTGAGATCTGATTTTATAGGTCAGGGTGGAGCCTGGGAGTCCGTCCACATTTCCAGCATAGGTGCCAGTGGGCGGCAAGCCCTAAAGAGCACCACTGCCACCTGCTGGCGGCAATTCACATCGCAAGCCCAGACATAGGAAAGAGAGGGTTGGCCCTGTGTGGGGACCTGCCAAGCCATAGAGCAGTTCTGCTTCTCTTTTGCTTTAGCCCAGGCTTTAGTGGCATCTCTAAACTCCGCTCCTTGATTTTATTTGCTTCTTCCAACCTTCATCTCGAGGAGCATGCTTGAGCATAGACAGTTTGGGGTCAGCAAAGGACAGGGGAAGCCAGCTGAACAGGAAGAGACGGCAGGCCCTGACCATCCAGGCACACAGGGTCTAAAAGCTTGCGAGGTCCCTAGTGAGCCGAGGCACTGATTCCAGACGCAGCGAGTCAGCCAGGCCCAGAGGGCCCCTGTCATCACCTACTTCTCCTCGGGTTTTGATTGCCATGCACCACAGCAACAGAATAAAGCAAGTTCTCAGAACTTTCTCCCTTAACCTGCTCACTCTGTAGTATCACTCTTTACTAAATATCTCTCATCAATTCTGCTTAAAACTGTATCAACTCATGTTCATTTCTTGCTTTCATTAAGAATATATATCCCTCCCTGCCATGGAGCTTCTCCTTTTGGGGAATGGGAGGACCCCAGTCCCACGGAAGCAACACAATGCAGAGAACAGAAGCCGAGAGCCGCCTCATGGGCGATTGTGTGGCAGCTTAGCGATCCAGGCTGGTCTGGACAGCTGCACCCTTCCCACACAGGGCAGAGCTGGCCCCCGTGTCCTGCTGGACACTCCAGTCCAGAAACTTCTAATTTTACTGTCTCTCTTTTTCACCCACGGAACTCTGCTTTGAAATATTTTTGTCTCCCAAATTGCAGTTGTTAAAAGAACTCATTCCTCATTTTTTGTTAATCAAGGGACTATATAGCTCCCAATAAGAAACTTCTGATCAGCATTGAATAATGTTTTATCATCCTGAGATGACATAATTTCAGTCGAGAGCAAAGAAGACACCAACTTGGACTTCCCTGGTGGCTCAGTGGTTAAGAATCCACCTGCCAATGCAGGGGACATGGGTTCGAGCCCTGGTCTGGGAAGATCCCACATGCCGCGGAGCAACTAAGCCCTTGCGCCACAGCTACTGAGCCTGCGCTCTAGAGCCCGTGAGCCACAACTACTGAAGCCCGCGCGCCTAGAGCCCATGCTCTGCGACAAGAGAAGCCACCACAATGAGAAGCCCGTGCACTGCAACGAAGAGCAGCCCCCGCTCGCCGCAACTAGAGAAAGCCCGCGTGCAGCAACCGAAGACCCAACGCAGCCAAAAATAAATAAATAAAAAAGACACCGACTTCTACTTGCTTATGTGGCTTTCCATCAATTCCTTTCAGCGTTTGAAAGTTTGAACCAGCTTGCAGGCCCACCATCCCCCCGCCTTCATCCTAACCTTCATCTACTTGCAGAGGTCCCAAGATCCTAACCAGAGCTGTCCTAGTATTTATTACAACTAAAAGAAGGGGCAAAAATCTAAGGTAGCTACAAATAAGAACAGGTATCTGTCGATACAGGTGGACAATTTCTATGGTTGCCCCACCCAGGGAAGTGAAGGATAAGATAAGTATGCATTTCTCAATCTACACTTCCTGCCCTCCCCTCAGCACTGGCCCTGCAGATTCTTCCCACCTTTATAGAGAGCCAACACACAATTCTAAAAAGTTAGGATGAGAGTAAAAGACCATAAGCTCCAGGGACTCAGTCTGCGTGAATGCCCACATCTGGGGGTCTGCACTTATATGCTCTGAACTAGGAGACCATTCTGAGGGCCTTCTTAGACTTGACTGGGAGGTCCCTGCTTCTGAAGTCTGTAACTGTGGCTGATACAGAGACTTCTACAACACTCATGGAAATAAGTACCAGTCCAGTGTCCAGGACCTTGGTGCCCGGTGAAAATCAGTTATGGATATAAATAAATAAGTATACCTTGCATCTTGCTACTTATTTTTTTAACTTTCTTTTCGTTGGCATCTCAGGGGGCTCTGGTGGAAGAAGTGGGGAGTGAGCATTGAATGCAATGAGAGAGAAGCAGAATAACAGAGTCCCTTTCCATTCCTTAGGCTGCAAAGTTGATTTGTCATTTTTAATTGATGGGAGCGCAAGCATTGGCAAACGTCGATTCCGAATCCAGAAGCAGTTCCTGGCCGACGTTGCCCAAGCTCTTGACATTGGCCCTGCCGGTCCACTGATGGGTATTGTTCAGTATGGGTAAGTGCTGCTCTGAATTCAGAAATCAAGGGATGTCCCATGCTTAATTTTGTGCCAGAAAAAAATACCGACACATCCTAGAGCACAGCAGACTCATCCCCTTCCCTGATACAAATGTAAATGAAAGAAACCAAAGCAATCCAGATGCCGCTGAAGAAATCTGAGGCTTCCAGAAGGAGGGACAAGTTAATCCACACTTGAAAGTAAATGGCATTTGCACTCCTGACTGGTAGAGAGAATATGTTTGGGAATTAAGAGAGCCGAGTTCAAGTTTTTGCTCAGCCAATAACAAGCTGCGTGGCCTTGGGCTAGGCCTTCACCTCTCTCACGGTCAGTTTCCTCATCAAGGTTGGCCCCCTTTCAACCCTATTAGAGTATTTGTTTGAAGGGCTCCTGTGCTCCACCTATAGGTGGGATGCCCAGAAAACATGGTGCTCTAGGTTCAACTTTCTCCTTTCTCTGGACAACCTTAGGCCTCTACACTGGTACTGGAAAAGCCCACCCGGCAATGGGGAGGACTGGGGTTGGGGGGAAGGGATGGCCCCCAGCACTCACCCAGGTGACTGTCCCCAGTCCACTTTACTATTCTACATAGGGTAGAAATTGAGGGCGCATACTACCATCCAATCTCAACTTTTCTCTCATTGGGGATAAGAAGTCAATCTTATTTCAGATGTAGCAGATTTCTCGCTAAAGCAGATACACAGATATCAACTGAAAATAGGCAATCAAAAGCGTAAACAAGACAAATCTCAAATAACAGGTGGGCTTTTGATCAAGAGCCATTAAGGGCAGGATAACTGTCTCACTTTCCACAAAGGATCTCGGGCACAACCCGCCCGTCCTTCTCCCAGATCCGCAGCTTAGCCTCGGCCTTGGACACTAACCTAGGCCTTGGTACCTCTTGCTCAGAAGCCACAGTCTGAAAAGTAAAAAACACACACCTGACAACATCTGGGGCCGTCTCTGGTCCCTGCAAATGTTTCCCGGGGACATCCCAGAACAGCGTTTTAACTGAGGTTGTTATGTCACAGACACTAGAATATTTAGTTTTGAGATGTCCAAAGAAATAAAATGCTTTATTTTCATAAGAACCTATAATGTTTGTATTTTTAGAATTAAATTCCAATGACGTATTTAACACTATCTTCTATTTCTGTGAAGGAAGATAGCTAAGTGGCACTTATATATAGTCAGAGCCCAATATATGAAAATAACCAATTGCTACACATGTTAATTCTCAGTGTCGGATGTGCTGGAGGATTTTAACGTGAAATAGGAAAATACGTGGTTTGGGTCATTGTTTTCAGGACGTCAACCTATTTTCATTCCTGTGTTACTTTTTAAAGTTAGCAGATGAATAGCAGGCTTCTCTGGGGAGGAAATGTAAGCGTTTTAGTGCCAGATGTTCCCGGTCAGTTTTATTGGGGGGTTCAAAGCTTGGTATGTCATCTTGCATTCAAAATAGCTGCTTTAAAAGCTGTGTATACCAAGGTTTATAGGCGAATATGAAAATAAGGTGGTAAATATGTCAAGGAAAAGAAAAACGGCAGGAGCATTGTGTTGTGTGCTGATGGGAACATGGATTAAAGAACAAATGTAGCAGGGAAGGAAAAAATTCAATAAAGACCCCTTCCCCTCAAAAAGACATTTTCTCTCACGTGTCCCTAATGTCATCACCGTTTACAGGGAAGAGTTTACCTCCATGCTTTCCAATGTCACTTTCTAAAAATGCCTTCCCTATTCATCTTTTTTTCCGTCCAGGGTCCTTATTCATTTAAAGCCCTTAAGGGAAATGTGTCTGTTTTCCTTTACTTTATGCTCATACAAACCGATCAATCATCTTCACCCTCCTTCGGCCACGGGGTGGAGTAGAAAGCACAGTGAACTGGTGACAGGACGTCTTGAATTCTAGCCTTAGCTCCGCTGTGTGACCCTAAGCAAGTCACCTAACCTCTCCATGTAAGAGCTGCCATCTGTACAGTACAGGCCGGTTGGACCAGATGATTTATTAGGGCTCTGCCAGCCCTGCTGTTCTGTAATTCAGTGACTGGCTCTGTACTCAGAAGACATCCAATCAATGAATGTTGGGTGAACATGCTGGGTGAGCATCGTCTCCCTTCCAGCCTCAGGTTCTGATTAGGTGGGTGAATGATCAGCAATGAAATGATGGCTGCACAGAGGTTACACATCCGTCAGGGGAATGTGGGGAACAAAATCAGTTGGAGAGAGGCATTAGGAAGGTGTGATGAGGCTGAAGGGGAAATCCACACACTCCGCTGAAATTGCTTTTATTTCAGCCACCTGGGTGGCTCCCAGCCGGCCTTTCTTCAGCAAATGGTCTTAGTGGGAGAGAAGGCAGGGGGTGGGGTAGGAAAGGGTATGCAGGCAGAGGTCAATGCAGACATGGGGCCAGTGTTTCTGGAAAAGGGCTTTCCAGTACTTGGCTGGCTGGGAAACTGATTCCTCTACTGGTACTTTGGGTTCTCACCGGATTCTAGTGCCCAGCTCACAACCACAGGGAATCAGCCCTGCTCTCTCAGAATCACAGAGCAATGGGGCCTTAAAAAGCTCCTGGTTCCACCTCCTCGTGTTACAATGAGGAGACAAGGCTCTAAAAGACAAGCCACCTTGGCAAGAACGAGCACTCAAGGTGAGACTGGGGTTGGAAAGGAGCTGGCCAAGGCTGGAGGACTCCCGAGCTCAGAATTTCTCCTGCTCTCAGGCCTCTCCCCTCTGTCACCGCTGCCGTGGGTCCACCTGGGAGACTCCCCCCAGAAGATTCCTTCCCTTGGTTTTCCTTAGAGCTGAGGCAGAACTTAGACTTTTAAATTTGGAATTTAGAAGACTCATACTATTAACAGGAAACAGAAGGCAAATAAGAAATAAAAATACGAGGATAAAAATGACCTGATGTACAAAATGCTCGTTCTGTATCCTGATCAGTAAGCATCCTACACAAAGATATTTTGGATGCGGGAAACAGAAAACCAACCCAGGCAGGCAGGTGACGGGAGAGTGATGTCACAGGACTGGCAAGTCTTGATCATTCCCTCCCTCGTCCTTTCCCTGCATCTCCTCGTCTCTCTGCTTGTCCAGTCCGTTCTCTCCTCAGTGGACAGCGTCATCCCCTGCCAGGCTCGTGGTTTCTGCTCCTCTGTAACTTCCCCCTTGCCCTGGCTGGGCTCCTAATTCTGGTCCGGACCAGGGGGAGCCCCTCAGCCCCCGTGGTGCCAGCATGCTCCCTCTCCCACATCCCCCACCCGCACCTGCAGAGGCTCGGAGCCCAGGCCCGCGTTAACCTTTCAGCAACCACAGCGTTCCTTCCACAGTCATCACGCACCTCCAGTAAGAGACGCAGCGTATGACACAGACGCAGAGAGGTTGAGTGACTTCCCTAAGAACACACAGCTAAATGCATGACCACTGGGGAGAGGAGAGATGTTAAATCCTGAGTTAATCCCTAAAATGTCAAACCAAATTGACTTCAAGATTTTGCTCCTCTGCCAAGAAAGCTCCTGATAATGGAGGCTTTCACCAGACTGAGGACAGACACGGCTGCAGACAAAGCCAAGGCTCAAGCCCCCATCTTGCACACATGCTCTAATTTACAGTTAAACAGCCAACATGCTCGTGATTGTGCTTACGACCAACAGGAACATTAAGAGGCCAGAGGAAAGCATGGCCAGAGCAAGTCGCTGGTAGGTGAAGTCTAGCAAACAGAATAAGGAAGACAAGCCGCTCACAGTTTAGCTGCCACCTGGATCCACAGGGGCTAAACGCCCGCTGGACCTTCCATAGGATTTTGTTTTTATCCCTGATTTCAGTATAAATGGAACAGAATTGCACAGGTTCTTTTGAACTTTGTAATCAACCCCAGGATACTGACATTGGAAAACAGCTGTAGAATAAAGCCAAATAACGGTTTCTCTTCATTTCAAGGTGAAATCCGGTTCTCTGACAGGCGCCCCGTGTTTCGGCTCTGAGGTGGGCTGCATCTCCTTACTTTTTTACTTCACAGCCCACCCAACTCAGCCCTGACTGAGCACCCTCAGCTGAGCCTCCCTTCCTGCCCCCCAAAGCGGGAAGGATGCCCAAGGGCTCCCGTGGATCAGCGGAGCCACTGAGTGTGGGGCAAGTAGAGTAGGGAGAAGAAACGAGGTGTCGGGTCTGGTGTGATGGGCAGAATAATGGCCGCAAAGCTGCCCACGTCTGGAACCCCCGGATGTGTTACCGTAGTAACATTTCCTCCAGCAGGAAGACGCTTGCAGATTAATTTTCTATTTTTTGGTGGAGGGGTGGAATTATTGTTGCTAATTACCAAAAAAAAAAAACCCTACTCCTCTAAAAACAAAATTTGATTATAAGACTCTGTTCCACGTCTCTGATCCTAGGAAATGTGAGAAAGGCCAGTGTCCTTTCAAAAGGGGCTAGTTGTGCTAATTCCCTCAGCAGGTCGGCCTGGGCCCCATGCTCAGTCCTTTGTAGGGAGGGGCAGAATCATTTTCACTCCGAGTGGGTAATACCCTCGAGGGACAAGTCTGCCACCTGACCTGCAGCCAGCAGCAGGTCCTCAGGCAACCAGGGTCACCCTAGAACATCCTCCTGAGTTCACAGGCATGGTTCACCTCAATGACTAAGTCCATAAATCATCACACTTTAGCATTAATTAAAAGGCTAAGGATAGTCATGTTATTTTATTGTAACCTTAAGGTGATGATGCCTTGTTGTAGGAAACAGTTTCAAAAGGTTCTTGTTATAGGGAATATGGTTAGTTAATGTGTCTCTACTGGCATAAAAATTCATTTGAGAGGCTCACTCTATGTGACTCAAAGCATTATGGGGTAAACCAATAGACTCTGGGACTTTAACCAAATGGGAACCTCAGGACTGAAAGGGCCTCAGAAGTCCTCTAAAATCCAGGGCTTCCCAAGCTGTCCCAAGGATGGGATCCATCTGGATCCCTTATTTTAAAAAATCCCTATCCCCAGCCCAGACCT